CCCCAAAACCCCAAAACCCCAAAACCCCAAAACCCCTTTATAATATTTCTCAATTGAAATTTTAGGATCTATCCCCAAATTTGATATAGTTTGTTTTAAGCTTATTCATCATAATCAGTTGGGCCAATCATCTTCTCTGGTCTTACCCATGCTTTATATTGTTCTTCAGAAAGGAATCCTAGTTTCAAAGCAGCTTCTTTTAATGTTGTATTCTCTTTGTGAGCGGTCTTTGCAATCTTAGCAGCCTTGTCATATCCAATATGTGGGTTTAATGCAGTTACAAGCATGAGACTTTCATTCAATAGTTTGTGAATGTGATCCTTATTTGCCTGAATTCCTGCAACACAATTTTTATTAAAAGATTCACAAGCATCTCCCAGCAAAGTTGCCGAATGTAGAACATTTTTAATGATTAATGGTTTGAATGCGTTCAATTCAAAGTGACCCATAGATCCACCAACAGTACAAGCAACTTGGTTTCCAAATACTTGAGCACATACCATTGTCATTGCTTCGCATTGAGTTGGATTGACCTTTCCAGGCATGATTGATGAGCCTGGTTCGTTCTCTGGAAGAGCTAATTCTCCCAAACCTCATCTAGGACCTGATCCTAAAAATCTAATATCGTTCGCTATCTTAAATAATGAAGTTGCAAGAGTATTCAGAGCACCATGCAAATACACAAGTGCATCCTTGGTTGCAAGGAGTTCAAATTTATTCTTTCCACTAACGAAAGGAAGACCTGTTTCGTCTTCCAAAAATTCAGCAACTCTCTCAGAGAACCCTTCATAAGTATTGATTCCTGTTCCTACAGCAGTACCTCCTTGAGCAATCTCAAATATTCCATGCAGGCTTTCCTCAATTCTGACAAGGTTGTTGTTTAAAGCTGCTACATATCCTGAGAACTCTTGACCTAGAGTCAATGGAGTTGCATCTTGAGTGTGAGTTCTTCCAATCTTAATAATTTCAGCGAATTCTTTACTCTTCTCATGAAGAGCATCTTTGAGCTTTTGTACCTTAGGAATTAAATTTTGAGACACTTCCATTGCGGCTGCAATGTGCATGACTGTTGGGAAAGTATCATTAGATGATTGACTCATATTTACATGATCGTTTGGATGTACCATCTTTGATCCTAGTTCTCCACCAAGAATTTCAATAGCAATATTAGCAATTACTTCATTGGAATTCATGTTAGACTGGGTACCAGACCCTGTTTGCCAAACTACAAGTGGGAATTCTTCATCATGTTGTCCATTCTTAACTTCATCAGCAGCCTGAATAATTGCTTCTCCAACCTTTGAGTCAAGTCCATACTCAAGATTCGCTTTAGCAGCACATTTCTTCAAGATTCCAAAGGCTCTAACAACTCCCAGAGGCATTCTTTCTCTAGGTCCCCCAATTTTGAAGTTCATAAGACTTCTTTGAGTTTGAGCTCCCCAATATTTGTCGGCAGGGACTTCTAAGTCTCCGAAAGTATCAGATTCAATTCTGAAAGAAGAAAACATGACACGAGGAACTTTTGTAATATATCTGTATCTTAACAAAGATTTCGATAACATCTTTATATAATTATTTTAATTTATGATTTAAATAAACTTATAAAGCGAGCACGATTCAATTTCACTAATAATTTCAGGGGTTTTGGGGTTTTGGGGTTTTGGGGTTTTGGGG